TGGAATAAAGTTTGTAGGGACTGATGCGAACCTGATTTGCAGTGAGCTGCGCCAGCTTCTTTGTTCTGATCGTCAAAGGTTCTGTAATCTCACACGCTATCATCCTGTTGGTTGCGCATATTAGGAAATAGCGGTTCAGTTTATTCAGATGCGACATTGCCTTGTTCTACATATGTTCTGTTTGTGTTGCGTGCATAGAAACTTAATATTTCGCTATAGGTTATCCATGTTATCCATGTGTTTCTTGGCAAAGGGGATCTGGAGTAAAGTTCTGTCAGCCGTCTGATTTCTTATTTGATCGATCGAGATGGATCGATCAAGTTACTCTCTGTATTAGTACGACTTTTTCTGTAGGTGGCGTAGATGTTTCTGCACCTTGGATGTGATATGGCGCTCTCTGCCTGGATCATTTGTACCGGACAAAAGATATCGAAACTGTCTTTTAGGATGTGGCGATTTTTATCACAGCTGAGTCTTGTTCTTCCTGACTACCCAAAAATCAGGCGAGACAAACCAGAGAAGAAATACTGAAATTTGATTATGTTGTGAGGATATCTGTCTCAAGTGTGCAGTTTCCTTGAAAACTGGAATTTCTGCGTGCTGTGTGTGACTTGATGTAGAAGAGTTGAAACATGTTGTGCTAGAATTGGAATAACAATGATCCGACATTCAAAGTGAAATAGGCTGACGATCTACATACGTTTCTGAGGCATTTAGCGAAGTTCGGTCTAGAGCTTCATTGCCCCAAGTTTGAAACCACGTTGACGAGACCAAGTGTCTGAAGAAATATCATCTGGTGGCGATTGCAATCTCATGTCAATATGACTAGATTCTCTTGGACAGCCGGTGACATGAACGTGTCAAAGAATTCATAAATGCCTCCAAACCAAGGGCATCACAGTCGGGTAACGAAATTAAATATTGTCACTTTGACGTATTTGACCGTAGGCAGTGATCTTTGTCAGCATCGGACGATTAGACAGTCTGCGATGTCAGGTTGGAAAGAAAATATCCCTTCTGCATTAGCGCGCCAGTCCTTCCATATATACTTGATTTCTTTGCCGCCTCGATTGAAGCGCGATCATGTCGAAACGGCTGAAAGTCGCGAATGTGGCACGACCGAAACTTCTGTCTCTTTAACAGTTCATTACTCTTGAAACTAGCGAACCGACTCATTGGTAAACTGTCGCAGCTGCAGTGCGTCCTTAATCTCATATAGCTTGCTGGCAATAAAGCGGATGTTCGACTAAATAATGTAGGCAGAAAATAATCTGCTACCGTCTATTTTTTATTTCTTCCAGCTTGTTTTGTCAATCTGCTCTGCCACCATGCCTTATGAAGATATCCAGAGGTCTAATTCTAACAATTTTTTGAATGTTTGTGATATAGGCATTGGTATTATTATCAAGGTGTAAGAAGTCATTGTGGGATCATATGTTCCTATCGATCAGCTGCCGATATCGGAGCATACGGTAGCAGCCATTATCGGAGAAGTACAATGAATAAAACGAGAATGAGGAACACGAGGAAAATATAGCAAACAACAGGAGAAACACTCTTTTAAGTAGAAAATATATAATGGGTTTACTTCGATCTGAGGTGCTTAGACGAACATCCAAAAAACGAAGTAGATGAGTGAAATCGCCGAAAAGAAGAGCAAAATCACAGAATCAAACAATCGCCTCCATGACGATTCCAGAGAACAGAAATAGTGTATAATAGCATTCAAGTGTGATTTGAAATGGAGTCCGTACATAAGTTAATCTGTGACTTTTGTTTCACGCATCACCGAAAACGCG